AAGTCCAATGTCTTCTGCTGGTTATGACAACTGGCTTTTACAGCTTTGATTTCTAAACTTTGGACGATTTAAATTAACCAGCATGATTTAATCTCTCTTATCAGTCAACCATCATCACCCTTGTCATCAGAAAGCCCTTATTAAGCACCTTGACTTTACACGGGGATGGACTATACACAAAAGGAGAACTCACTGCACAACCGAGGTCTGTCCTTTACTGGAAAGGATCAGCACCAACGAGCTGACAGGAAGGGTGGAGAGGATGACAGCATCATGCTTCACAACAGCACACAAGAGGCAGAAGAGGAAAGAAATCCAGAATGTGGAAGTAGAGAGTGGGGCTTCACAAGCCAGAGTTAAGGCTCCTAGAGAAGGCATTTATAAAAGACATGATGAGAGGAGATGGAGAAAAGAGAAGAGGTCAGGAAAGGTTGTTTAAGGGCATATACTGAGGTTTCTACATTTTTTCTCAGCGTGGGTTTAAGCACACAGAGGGGAGAACGCACAGAGTGGAATAGACAGCCATAGAGAATAGACAGACTTGATAATTCAGGAAGTCGTAGTCAGAGATGGGAGAGAAGATTTAACACACACACACACACACACACATACACCCACCCCACACTGAGTTTTATAAGTCAGTATCACTTGAATCAATTCATTTAATTTCATAAATTGGGTTTTTCTATGTGTGCTTATAAATTATTCCAATAGGCTAAACAAATCATTGTCCCTGTTTTTTTTTTTCAATGTGCCTTGAAAGGATAACTCCTTCCTGTAATAAGAGGACTTGCATTGCATAAAACAGAAGACAATAGAGCAATCATTCAAAAACTCATGGGGGGAGGGTGTAGCTCAGTGGTGGAGAGCATGCCTAGCAAGTTCAAGGTCCTGGGTTCAATCCCCAGTACCTCCATTAAGTCCATAAGTAAATAAGAACCTAATTACCTCCCCCCCACCAAAAAATGGTAGTAATAATAATAAATTAAATTAAATTAAAAACATAAAGTGATGTTATTTTAAAAAGGAAGAAAAAAACTAGACATAAATAAAATTTTTTTTAAAAAAAGGAAAATGTGCTCCAACCTTTCTTACAGCTCTGATGAATAGGAGACATGCTATGCAACTTGAGGAAGGAAACGACAGAAGCAAAGAGATAGAAGAAGGGAAGAGAAGTGGGACTGAGCCTGTCCTGTGGTGCCATGCTTCAGGAAATGAGTCAGTGTCCCCACTCCCAGAGCCGCCTACACTAGGGTGACCGTGTGAGAAGCAGCTGACCACCACCCAGAGCCGCCATTCAGTTTGTCTGCCTGCCCTTAGGACTTTTCTTTTGGTGCAGACATTTGAAACCTGTTCTGTTTTCTCCCTTCGTTGTTTCTGCACACACATGGTCTCTTATATCAGGATCTCCCAGGACTCCATGCTGTCTTCTCCACTGGACGAGATTCCTTCTTTGAGGTGCCTTCCAGAACCTCCCAAAGTGAATTCTGTGACTGCCACACAGCTTACATTTTAATTCAGAATTCAGAACATCCCAAACTTGTTCTCCATGTCTGGGGAAAAAATCGTTTACTATTTCTGCATACAGTAGTTATCAGGCAAAAAGAAATATTTTCCTTACACAGATCAACTGATGCAAATGGTGGTCTCACAACTGTAGAAGACTTAATGGTTGAAGGAACAGTTCGTGCACATAGTTCATTTCATTCCTCAAGTCACCACTCTTCCTAACCCCTCAAGAGACCCAGCTCCCAACCCCAGCTTAAAACACATTAGTGATTTTCCAGTCCCCTTGACATAAAGACCAAAATCTTCACCATGCATCTAATCTCTACCCCTCACTTCAGTTTGCAACACCCTGCCCCACTGTCCTCTGTACCCTAGCCACACCAATCTTCTAACAGCCCCTCAAATGGGCCACAGGACTTTTGCACGTGTTTTTCCATCTGTGCTAAATGTTCTTTCCCATCACCCATTTTTGCCAGTTAATTCATAGCCTTCCTTTGGTTTTCAGCTTTATTGTCACCTCCTTGGGAAAGCCTTTCCCAATCTCTCTGACCAGGTCAAGTCCCTTTAAGATATTTCTACATACCTTCCTTTCTTAGCACTTAACCCAGTCATAATTATACATGCATTTGTGTGACTATTTGATTACCTTTTGTCTCCAACAGCAGACTATAAGTTCTATAAGAGCAACAGCTAGTACATTGAGAGTATGTCCAGAGTACTAGCTCAGTTTATGACATATATTCTATGATATTTAATGAATGAATGAATGCATCATAATCTCTATGTGGAGAGATGTTACATCTTCATTTGAGAAATGTGGAAACAGTCTCAGATTTTATAGGATTTGCTCAAAGAGCATGAACAGGTATTTGATTCATGACTTCATGACCGTTTGCTGGAAATGCATCACTCTAAGGACTGGAAAGCATTGCATGGCACAAAGTAGGTGCCTAGTACAGGCTTGTTGAATGAAGAAACGAAAACACAAATGAAAGTAGCAAGGAATAAATTATGAACTTCAACATGGTTTTCAGTGTGAAGAGAACAGTCTTGCCTGTGACCTTGGGCAGGTCACACCACCTTTCTAGGCCTCAGCTGAAGATTATACTAGGTGCTCTTCATGCTCTTCAAGTCTGAGATTCTGAAATTCCACACTCCTCATACCTTGGGGTTCTATCTAAAACCAGGCACCTACATATGGTGGCTGAGTTACTTAGCAGCCCAGATTTGACTTTACGTTTTGGATCATTTTTAATGTATTCAAAGAGCAATTATCACTACGCAACAAGAGCCCATTGCAGGAGCAATTACATCAAGGATAACATATGGTGGCAATAGAAACAACAGAAAGTTACTGCAGTGTGGTAAGCACAGCAGATGGAAAAGCATAGTTATAACCTTGACAGCTGACCCTGGGACTTCAAGATGTTATATTGTTGTATGCTAGGAAGCAAAGAACGTCTGGCCCCCAAAATAGCATTTTGAGTGCTCTCTTGGCATTGTTGAATGGTTCAGAAACTAACAAAAGGGAATCATGGATGATCTCCGTCATTCAGCCAAGAGTTATGTAGAAACTACAAGGGGAAAGCTACTTTCTTCTCCCAACAAATTTGGAAATTCTCCATCTCACTAGTCCCACAAACATGCGCTTATCCTGTCTCCTAACCAAATTCCCCACAAAATTGCTCCAAAATCAAGAACTGGCTTGCCTTTCCACATGCATCTCTCACCCACCCCCTGACCTTACCCATACTCTGGCCTCCCAGTGCAGGTTTTTCATGACTTCATGAGAAATCCCAGGGTTCCTTCAGATCCAATTCTAATGTCATTTCCTCTTTTAAGCTTTTCACAATGTTCCCAGGTAGAACTCCTCCAAATTCCCACAGCATTTATTTACATCCAGGTAATAGCACTGAAGGCCATCTAATTTACATGATGATTACTTCTCCGTCTCCTGACCTTATCACCACACTAGCCTGTAAGAGCCTTGAAGACAAGGACTACGCTTTATTCATCAGAACATAGCCCAGTTGCAAGCTGATATTTAGAAAGTCCATTAAGTTAAATGCTAGGCAGCAACTAATCAGTAGATTAATTAACTATAATGAAAGAATGAGTTCTAATACATCAATGCACATAATAAAGTTTATTTTATCAGGGGGTTTTTATTAACTTCACTTTAATCCCAAAGAAGTAGCTTAAGAATATTAAGCATTATGCCAATAATAGAGTTTTTAGAAGAGGTAGAATATTTCTCTAATTTCGCACACATTACCTCATTTAATCTTCAAACAATCTTACAAGGTGTTATTATGCTCATTTGCAAACAGCATAGTTGAGGTGTAAGCAGATAAATTACATTTCCCAGGCCATAGGATTAGTAAGTGGCAAGGCTAGGACTTGAACTCAAGTCTTCAAACCTATACCTAAAACCTTAACCCTAAAACCTGAACTCGCCGCCACTGTGCTGTTCTCTCTGTCCTAGTCATAAGACCAACCCTTGTATCTGAACTGTGGGTCATAGTATTAAATGTTTTTCTTCATCTCTTATTACTTTCAATTCACTGAATTTTACTCACATAGAAAGTTATACTTAGAAATTTTATAATCCTCCCTGACAGACCCCTACCATGGTTATGGACAGTTATCAACATTTAAGAACTCATTCTATCCCTCAATTTTAGAGTAAGAAAACTGAGACACAGAATAATTAAGTAACTTGGCCAAAGTCACGCAGCTACTAAGAATGAGAGCCCGGAGTGAACCCAAGCCATTCGACTCTTACACCCACGTGACATCGTTCACTTCCTTAGGGCATTTCTCCGTCGTTTTGGAAGTCCACGTGTCAAGGTGTCTGGGTCTGTTACCCACCCAGGAAATGTCTGAGTCAGTTTAACTGCAGCAACCAAAATCATATGAATGCAAATGCCTTCTTTTCAAAGAAGGCAAAATTCACGTGTTTTTTGTATGTATAAAATGGAGCTAAAATCTGTGCCCAGCTGTAATTTTACCTCATCTGCTTCCGTTAGGTGGTCGCAGTTCTGTTTTCATCACTAATTGGCACTGTCCTGTATTAGACTTACTCCTTTTAGAAAAATATAGGTAAATAATCTCAGACTCATCATCACTTGCCTGGTTGGTCAGATTGTTTTCTCATTTCCAAGACATCGTTGTTCCCCACCATATGTGAGATCTGAATACAGTAATAACCACTAGTGTTTACTGAATCTATTCTAAGTGAGATGCTGTACTAAACTTCTTCCCCCACATCCCTCACTTAATCATTGTATTAGCCCTGATGTACAGGTGAGGATCTAAGCCCTGGAATGCTGAGAACCTTGTCTGAGGGCCCATGGCTGGATCCCAGATCGGACTCAACCACTCAGCTTATTCTCAGCCTCTGCTGCCACTATTCTGGTCCCCCTTTTTCCCCACTGTAATTAAGGGAGATTATCCAGACAGAATCTTTAAGAAAAGAGTAAATAGAGTACCTGATAAGGCCCAGGTCATCTCCATTCAAATCTACCAGTTTCAAGAGTACCATTTCCTTGTCTGTATTTGAAGAATACCTAGGTCAGCAAAACAAAGAAACTTAGTCAGTTCTGTGTTAGAGCTTGGCCCTCGTGTGCAACAAACTGTAGAAGTTGACACAGAAATAAAAACCAAAATGCCTCCCTGTAAGCAAGGCTCCCGGGCACTCTGCCATCCTACAAAATACATCCAGGACCTCCTTTCTCAGCTAAAGAAATGGTTTGCAGCTGTGATCAGAGTTAGGGGCGTTAAGTCAGCTAACTGGAGACGAAATACACATTTTTATGTAATATATGCAGTATTATATAGCATGTATTTCTTATAATGAGAATTTGTCTTTGAAATTTCTACTCATCAAATTTTAATGGCATCACTTAAAAGTAGCAGGGAATATGCCAAATCAAAAGCATTTTGACCTGCAACTTAAACTTTTCTTTTATGCCCTTTCAAGGGAAATCAGATCATATTTTGTAAAACTCAGCTCTTGGAAATCTATTGAAAGATATGCAGACAAATGTAAAATGTCAGGTGGGTCAAGCTGAACTGAGAGATTACTTTACTCTGCCTTAGTAGCTAAGTACTTCTCTTCTGTCACAAACCTGGTTCATCATTTAAAAATTAAAAAAAAAAATCATCTCCCTTAGTTGTTTCTTTCAGTTACACTAGTTCTGTCTTGCTCTTCATGCCAATTTCTTTCTCCATCTTGCTATGTTGTCCTGTAAGTAAAATGCTTCCTTCTGAATAATGTAATGAAAAGAGCTATTCTTCAATTTAACAAATGTATTGCGCACATTATGTTTTACTGATGAAGAAGCTGAGAGCTGATAAATTAAGGGAAGTAAGCCACTGAAGGTCACACAGCTAGGAAGTGATAAAGCTGAGACCATCTTCGTGCCTGATTTGAAAGCCCAGATGCTTCACACACTCACACTGACTCCCACAGCAGCAAAGAGGGGAGATAACGTGCATGGCTGGCTGGCCTGTGCTTCTACATTCTCTTTTAATTTCTGTCTGCTTTAGATAATCAACATGTTTTTACCTTCTTTCAGCTTTAATAATCTTTTAGGATCTCACCATATCCATCAAGTAACAACCTTGTTCTTAGATTTTGTCATTGTTCCCTAAAGGAAACACAGGAGTTCAATGTGATGATTGCCCCCTCACCTTGCTCTCTCTGACAGTGGATTCTGAAGATAGGAAAAAGGGCTCCGGTTGATCTGGGCACCATCCACATTTCCTTTATTGATAAAGATTTTGCCTGGTTTCATATTTCTGTGTGCTATTTCAATGCTCTGTGGGTTAAAAAAAAGTCATAAAGTTAGAAATCCTGGTGGGAAGAAAGACTTAGTCAATATAAACAGAAGAGCCCTGTGGACAATTTCTTTGTCTCTAATTTGTCCCTGCTAATGGACGAAAGCTGGAGAAGCACAGGGCGGGATGTAAACAGACATGGCCTTCAGGGTTGAGGTCGAGGAGTGCCATGTTTAGGGAAGCACCCGAGTCTCTCAGGACTGCTCAGGCAGGCACCGTCTGCCCTTTCAGGAAGCCAAGTGTGAAACCTGACTCAGGCAACTCTCCATCCCTGTCCCCACCAGTTAAGGCAGTTTTTCAAACTTTTTTGACTGAGAAACACAGTTATCAACACATTTTTCATCATAACTTAATACCCATCAGTATATGCGTCCTAAAACAAAAGCTCACCAAAAAACTACACCCCACGTGTCCTGCACTATGATACGTTTCAATCTATTTTACTTTAGAGGTTTCCTTTCTTTTTAAAGCTTTTTGCAGGCCATGAAGTTGATTTCACAAAGCCAGTCATAGATGGCTTTTCACAGGTTGAAAAACATTGTTGTAAAGACATTTCTGCCTTTGCCAGTTGAATCCCTGGATGAGAGGTAGGTGGGGAGGCAAGGCAGTGACTTTATGAGGAAAAGTAGAGAGGAACTCAACCTGAGAGACAAAGGAATGAAAAACAGAAAAAAAAATTAGCAAGAATTCCCTGCAAGAAAATTACCTGAAAGACAGGAGAGACAGGATATAAGCTACCCAAACCAGGGATGGGAGAAAACTTTGAGGGTGTCAGTTCAGAGACCCACGTCTGTCTAGGGCTGTTATAGAGGACTTGAAAAACGAGGGTGTGTGATATAATTTGGATCCCCTTTTACGCTTTTTAGGAAATTCAAAGAAGGCTTGGAATTATTTGTAATTACTTTCAATTCTTTGATGGGTTTCTTTTCATGTGACTTTGCACAGACAGCAGACCATATGGGGCCCTGTAATTTATAGAGGTCACATGCAAAATGCTTTTTTTCTCTTTAGGTGACTGCCTGAGGCTTTCTGCCGTAGACCCCTGCCTCTCCAAATCAATCAGTGTCTCAGGCCTAACAGCCCACAGCTAAGGGCCAGAAGCTCCAAGGGAGTCAGGAAGGAGAAAGGGAGGAGGTTCTAAGACTGTGCTCAGACCGAGATCCTACGGGGAACTCTGACACCAAACCACTGCTGAAGCACTGTAAGCAATGCTACAGAACAGCTCCCCCTGGGGATTTTCACCCACCTTCACGATACCAGTGACCATGTACTCAAAAGTGCGATTGCTAAATCCTTCACTGGCAATTACAAATACAGTGTACTGGAAATAGCCTGCAGGAGCCGAGTGTGTGTGAGTGCCACTCAGGATAACGTTGTCCCTTCGGTACAGGGAGCCATATTTACTCTGCAGTCTGTTCAGGACCTTTAAGACAGAAACAAAACAAAACAAAACAGAACTAAGAAGAGGGGTAACATAGGACCCTGGAATAAGAAAAAAGTCTGATGAGTCTAATCACTGGTTCACATCCATGACATCCCTGACAAGTGGCCTCTCACTCTATGCTTGCATTTATCCCCTCAGCCACAACATCAACAATACGGCAATCAGCATTTTCTAGATTCCTGCTGTATGCAAGCACAATGCTAAATATTGCACACACTGTCATTTAAAAATCTTTATAACAACACCAAGAGGTAGGTATTTTTAATCTTTTAGTTGAGATGTGTACAAAAGTTAAATAATCTGCCCACTGATCTAATAAATATCAGAGTCAGAATCTAGATTCAAGTCTCTCTGACTATAGAACCAATATTCTCACCTACTCGTTGTCCAGACACTGTTTAAGCACTAGGAATATATGAGGTCCCTACCCTGAGGAAGTTTTTGTTCTAGTGAGAGAAAGATATATAAATACATACTATTATATAATTATATATCATATTATAATATATCATATTATATCATTATGTCATATATCATATCATGTAATATTATATCATATAGTGAAAAATACTATGAAGAAAACTATTGCTGAATAAAGAAAAAGAGAGATAGGTGTTAGTGGGGAAAGCTCTCTCCAAAGATGTTTTCTCTCATCAGAGGTTTAAATGATGAGCTGGTCGTGCAACACCTGAGTGGGGTGAGGATGGGAAGTATCCTGGGAGCAGTGAACAGACAATGCAAAGGCCTCTTTACTCTATTGACTCACTTCCCAAAATGAAGAACTCAATGTTCCCAGACACAGACATTTACACTTATTGGTCTGGGGGAAGCCACCCACTATCCTGCTGTGATCTGAGAACACCCAGCAGCCCTGTGGCGTGGCCCATGAGGAAAGGAGCCATCTTGTCAGCACTAACTTGCTAGCCATGTGGTGAGCAACCACTGAGGTGGATCCCTCAGCCTCAGTGAAGCCTTCTAACAAGTGCAGCCCAGCCAACCTCCAAGTTCAACCTCATGATACAGAAGTGATGATATATGACTTCTATTCTAATGTAAGTCAGAATCACCCAATGAAGCCATTGTAGGGTTCCTTATCCACCAAAATCGTAAGCAATGACACATGATTATGATTCCTTTAAGCCACTGAGTTTTCTGGATGACTTGTACAGCAATAGATCCCTAGTACAAAAAGACCCGGTAAATGTTCATTGGATTACAAAATCAATGAACATCCAAATGAATGAATAGCATCCTTGTGTGGCTCATACACATCAGGAAAACAACAGAGAGAAAATCAGTGATATTGTTGAGTATCTCTTTTTTTGGCTCAAATGTCTTTTTTATTGAAATATAACTGACTTAAAATATTATGTTATGCTGAGTACCTATTTCTATTTCTGCTTTAATCAGCTGAAATCTGAAGTTTGGTATTATTGTAGTTTCTTTGAGAAAGATGTTTTGACTTTTTAATGTCAAAAATTATTAAAATGATCCAGCAAAAATGTCAAATCCAGAGCAACTTTCCTCAATGTAAGATACTATCACCTAACACCAGGGACAATGATGAAAGCTCATTTATGGCAGAGATGGAAAATACTGCTCTCTCATGCACTCAGTCCTACTAATTGGTGGTTGCTGTCAAAATCAGTGTTGAGAAGGATTCTGAATCCAAATTTGGGCTTAGCAAAAAAATAGTGCCTTTTCTGATTAGCAGTGCTGTCAACCATGTGGGGTATGCTGATAAACTGCCTCTCTGAAGAAAGAAAAAGCCCTCATTTGTATTGTTTGCTAATTTCTGTAGTGTAAATACTCCCCACCATAGTGAATTTCAAGCTACCAAAAGTTTAACCACCAGCTCACAAAGTTCCTGAGTAACTAACCATCAGCTGTCATGAGCTGGTACAAGCCACTTCCAGCACACCAATGGCCCACAAGGGAGCAGCAGCAACTGATGTGTTATATACTTAACATACTTAAAGACATCCATTCAACCTCTTCTATTTTAGGTGACAAGCTACACCACCCTCATTCTCATCATGTGGCCACTGAATCAGGAAGATCTTACAACCATCTTGTTCTTTAACCTCTCCAAGCCCCAAACACTGCTAGGTTACCACATCCACATAAGCAATCATGTAATACCAGGCAAATGTGGAAAGCAAGTATGATATAACTAGGCCAATGTTACTGCCTGCCTTCTCCATCCTAGTAAGTATCCATGTTCCTTCTGTTTAATCCTAATTCCCGTACCAACTCTTCATCACTCTTACATACTCTTTCACACAGTAACTACTACTGTTGCTTTATGAAGAAGAAGTATCTGTAAGGAGAAGAGGAAATGATTAGTGAAGGGACATCATGAGAGCGTAATTAAAATCAAAAGCCGACGTTCTTACAGTTCTGTAACCAAGACAAGAAAGTAGTGGAAAAGAAAGAACTACCAATAAACTTTAAAGCTTCCCTAACTCCACCCATTTTTATTCCTAAAGAACTGTAATGTTAGC